AAGTCCGTGGATTTACATAATTTATAATATTACCGAGTTCAATAAAATGGTATGATTTAATTATATTGCTGAATTAAACGATTATTTTTGTTTTTACATGCAAGATTTAAATTAGTACTAATATGAATACCCGGCCTCCTCTGCCCCGGCAATATATAAAAAAAAAATCAGAAAGGTTTGTTCCTTGGTGTAGGCAGGGATGTGTACACATCCCTGGTGTAGGGAAGGTGTTTAGCCCCGTACCATCTGTACCGGCCACATTCTGGTACTAAATTCAATACATATTTAAATATATTTACTTTATGTTTATGCCTATTATCATTGTTGACATTTAATTGTAAATGTATGACGGGAGAAGGCTGTGATAAATTGTAAAAACTTGTGCCCCATCGATCCCTTGTTTAATTTTATTGGCAACAGATTTATGTTTAAAGCTAAATAAATCTAAATTCTGAATATTGGCAAGTGTGCAATTAACTTCTAATGATTAATAATTACTGTTCAATAAGTTTGAATACGGATTTAGAAATCATATAACTTGGTTTCATAGTGCGGTAAGAAGTTGCAGTTGCCTGACGGCCCCTCTCTGGGGGCCCCTTTGGAAACTGTTTCATCTCGCTCACACGACTTGTGTTTACTGCCTAGTCAGGTGACGTTATCGGCGCTATTTTTAGCAGGGCTTTCCCGAACAATTCAAGTGGTCAAACTGGACATTTGGAACAGACTATGAATATGGGGATAGCGAGGTAACATAAGTGGAAGTGCATACAATACATACATTCATTAAAAAAACCAACGCCTTTTCAGGTGATGTCCCTTTAAATCGATTATAGAATTTGTAATCAATAATTGAAATGGGAAAATGCAAACCAAAATAATTGCAGAGGCTGATCAAGGGAATCTAGGTTAAAACGGCCCTACTGTAAAAACGGCCCTACTTTTTAAATCTTGATATACAATTTGATTGGATCTTACCATGCACGGTAATGTATCAATTGGGTATTTCTGTGATTGACATTTATATTTATTTCATATCACTTACCGGTACCACATGTTCTATGCTGCCATCTACTACAGCAATCGCACTGCAGTGCATGCTGTGCAGGTCAGATAACACTGTCGCACTCTAAACAGTTCGTCAATGCTGGTCTCATGGTTGAAAGTCTTATTCAAATTCAAATGATATCTGAAGATTTTGCTATGTACTCCGAGGTACTCTGTTAAAACAACAAAGACCCTCCTCCCATATCTAAATTATTATTAAATATTGTAACTATTTTTTTCAAATGCTATTCAATAAGTTTTTTTAATTCTTTTCTCTAAATAATTTAATTAAATTAAATTAAACACTGAAGTAGAAAACACCATTGCAAAGGTATTTGAGACTGAGGAGGGTCAGCTATCAATGAAAACACTAACACAATTATAATGTTTTTATCTGTACATGTCTTTATTTCTTGAAAGTGCATGTAACTTTATTAACATACTATCAAGTAATGTACCTGTATTACGCACTTGTAGTACTTGCAGCACTATACAGTATATACTATACTGTATATAGAGTGGGGCCGTTTTAACTAGGGCCGTTTTTACTAGGGCCGTTACTGCAGTGCGTCCGTTTTAACCGGATTCGCATCCAGGGAGGGGGGGTGTTAGCATGTGACCCATCCCCTTCCTGGACTTAATTTGTTTCAGTGCGCATATATATGCTGCATCTATCGTATTAATTGAATATTTTCTGATTTTTTAGTTCTTGACTGGTGTATTACACGGTCCAAGCCCTATCGGTGTTGACACCAATTGATATCGCCACCCCAGCATCAATTAAATGGGTCAGCAAACCATGATACAGACTTTTAACCTGTATGGTCGGTCGGTGGTCCGTAGTAGCCACAGAGCACATGTGTTACGTTTGCAAGAAGCACAATTCAAAATTGAAATAAATGAATTACCAAAATTGATTAATACATTAATCATTCATTCCACTTGGGCATTTTTCTATTAACAACAAGAGAAGAAAAAATCAGGCTTAAACCAGTATCTCACTTTATTTTGTGCAACATGACATATGGTTTAGCGTTTGTCACAAAATAAACTGGAAATCTGGAATGGTGACACCTCACTGAAAAAAATCTGGATCCGCCCCGGAATTGATCATCAGTCTGTCACTAGTTAACACAGACAGTGGTTTGTGGCTCCAAATTAAATGTTTAACAAGAGGCTTTAGTGAACTAGATAGTAGATAAGCCTTTCATGAAGGGTGCAAAATTTTTGGCCATTTCCATCCTAATTAATCAATTTTACGCTTCGATGCAGTTTCATTGCTACTGATTTACCTTTACATGGAAAGTATACCCAATGTGACTGCCAAATTAAATTAAAGTGACATTTTGTTTAGAAGCTTGTATATAAAGGCTAGAATAGTTCATTATGAAATTTCAGAGGTGAAGGAGTTATTATGATTTTGTCCCAATTTTCTTCAAGCTTATGTAGGAAAGTAATCTTAACTTTAACAGTACACTTACTTCCTTGAAATTGCTAAAAACCCATCTATTGGGTACGCACCTAAAAATAAGGGTAGATAAGGTAACCGGAAACAAACAACAATTTTTGATTTGGCCTGGTATAATTTGAATATGCTTGAAAATAGCCAATTAAAAAAATGATGAATAGCAGACTGTTTTTGCTGGCAACTTTTTTTTAATGAAAAGACTGCATTATTGATAAATAACGTTTTTATCCTGGCACAGGCTTTGTGACAAGGAAGTGATTGTTAATCTGACAAGACAGGTAGAATGTTGATGCATGACCTTCCTTATGGAGGTATGTAGAGCTTATCTACATCATCCCGACACCAAATGTTAAAGCATTGTTAGCTTTATAGCAGTCAAACACAAATTGTTCATGTGTTTATTATCATTAATCCGAAAAAACTTCAATATGGTCATTGGTGTTATGCTTAGGATTTCAAATCAAGATGAATCTATCAAAACAAGCGATGAAAAACATGTTTGCCACTTTTAACTTTTGCTAGGTACACACTACGCAGTTCTTAAACTGAATTATTACAGATTCATGTATGTAATCAGTACTGGTACATATTTCCCTATCAAGCACATCAGTACATAAACAAGGTCACATGCAGTCCTGTACACTATATCAATAGGGAAGTCTTCCTGAATTTTAAAACAATGGTGTACTAGGTTTAATTACCGGGTTTGACCTAGCCTGCAAGCTTCGAAAGGTAAACAATTAAATGTTTATCTTGTTTCATAATCAAACTCAGTTACAGCAATAGTTTATAACTGTCTGAAGTCCAGGGTTTGAATCCCGGTCGAGCCCCGCTGATATTTTACACTCACAATCATTATTTGTTGAGTATATATTTATATATTTTTTCCATCTATATCACTTTCTTATATTTTTTCATCTGTATTAATGTTTTAGAAATCACATTTATCAGTTTTCTATGCATATAGTTACAGGGATCCTAAAAAGGTATACTTATTCTAATTCTCATGATCTGCAAGATGAAGGTGAGCTTGCCTTATGTGATGCTGTGGTTAAACTGACATTCTGTTCATTAACAAAGTTTTTCTGTGAACATGTTCTTGTGAACCATTTAATGGCATTCAAAGTTGTAAAAATGGAGTGGATCCCCTCTGAGTGCATTGAGATTGCTGGGTTACAGTTGATGGGTCAGGATCTACTATCCTTATTTGGTTGAAAGCATCCACATATTGACCCCCAGTGAGATGAGAGGCAGAGCAAAAAGGGAAAGATTGGACATATAAAATGTACACTGCTTTTAGCAATTTTCCCTCTGAAACTATGTGATTTCATGAATATCGACCTTATGGGTTATAGAAGAAATTTTTAGATGGAGACAATGAAAAAAAGGTCTAGGGATGTGGGTCATATACTCTTGTTCATGATAATGTAGCAAGAACAAGGTTTCTATTAAATATACATTATAGCAGCTGTGTGTTATACAGTCAGTACAACTGTGTTTTATATATATGGGGCAAAGAAGTAATTCCAACGGTGTGGACAAGTTTAGGTTGTCAAATTTTCAAAGCGATCCGCTCCTTTTTCAAGACACAGTATCACAAGAAGATATAACTGATATACTATGTGTATTATATATATTGCATGGTTGTTTGTGTATAAACAAAGTACTTTGTGACAATTCTGAATGGTTCAGTGTTTACTGTATTTAAGCAAAGTTTAAGTACATGTTTATTATATGTCTCTGTGTGGAATGGAGAGCACTACATGTATATCTATATACATCCGGCTATTATCTTTAGAGGTCTCAATTGAACATCCTTGTAAACATATGCACTATGTATAAGGTCTGATAACACTTTAACAATTAACTCATTCACCCCTGAAATTTCATAATGAACTATTCCAACCTTGTAATTGGAAGAGTTCAAATGTGTCTTCAGGGGTGAATGAGTTAACTTTGCCGCTGGTGTTGGTTCCAATCCCTACCAGGATACAAATAATTTTCTGATATAATTCTTTTCTCAGAAGAATTATTTTTATCAGATCTGGGTAAGTAAAACAAGAATATGAAGTAAACATATTTTTTATTTATAATCATCATGATTAAAGATACACAGGGGTGTTAAAATGAACCGGTCCTGAACCTGGGGCGTTCAGTTTTCTGATTCAGACAATTCAAGTGCTAAATCTTCACAGGTTTGCCCTGGGAAAGTACAGTTTTGCTCATTTATAAATATTAATATTAATGTCAATTTGAATGAATTTTCAGTTCAGAAAAATGTTTTGAAAATAATTTTGATTTCCCTGACACCTGCTTTACATAATGCTTTACTTAATAGTATATTTAATAAGAAGATATATATATGAAAGAAAATATTTTGCTCTCTACATGTATGCTACGCCACTTGGGGCCTTAGAGTTTTAGATATTAAAAAGTAATATGTTGAAGGAGGTAGTGTACGTACTAAATAGATCAAGTATTGATATTTCAGGTTGCCCAGATGAAGGAGGTAGTGTACGTACTAAATAGATCAAGTATTGATATTTCAGGTTGTCCAGATGATGGAGGTAGTGTACGTATTAAATAGATTAAGTATTGATATTTCAGGTTGTCCAGATGATGGAGGTGCTGCCCTGAGACCCCACCATGCCACCCATTGTGGTTGTGCCTGACCTTGACATTGTGTCAGAGGTCAGTGCAGATGAACGTGTGGAAATTGACTTTCTGATGCCCAACGGAATCTTCATTCCTCTGAAAGTGAACTTTTACGACTCGCTTGACATAGTGAAAAGGGTAAATATGTCACAGTTTGTTTAATTACTGTGACAGCCATTTACTGTTATACAACCTAATATTTTCCTGAACCATTTCTAAAGACTGAGTCCCTCATTATCTATTTGTCAAAGGGCCCTGCATCAGAAATACAATATATCCTATATATAGTTATCACCTCTGTTTGTCTGTCATTTATAAAGATAATCTCAAAATACGATACTTATAATCTAAATTTCAGACCTTCAGATGACAATACACTGTAATTTATGTATGTATGTGTGCAATAGAGGTTCGAAAAATTCCCAAGATCATAGTCAAGGTCACTATTGCTAAAATTAGAAGAATAAGGGAAAGGGCAGGTATACACTGTCAAAAATATATTGTATTGCCTTTTCTGACCCAACATTGTTGATTTTGGTGGAAAGTAGTATTTGTAGGATGTCCCAAAGGATGTTAATATCCAATGGCAAAGGTGACAGTCACTGCTACTAAAAATACAACAGACTTGACACACTGTAAAGGAACCTTTTTTACCCATTGACTTGTTCTTTGTCAGTTTGATTAAAAATAGTACATGGTGGACATCATACATTAATTAGGGCCCCATATCGGAGCCCTATAGTTGTCTGTCTGTCTGTCTGTCTGTCTGTCTGTCTGTCTGTCTGTCACAAAGAGACACACTGAGGTAAAAAGTTGATGTCAAGGTCATGAGATTCAAAGGTCAAGGTCATATTTTGCATATTTTCACTGATGAATATTTTGTTATGACATGCTGAAGCAAAGTTGATCAGAATCAAGCAACGAGTCAACTGACTAAAGGTCAAGGTCATTGGGTCAAAGGTCAAGGTTAAATTTTGTATCTTTTCACTGTTGAACATTTCGCTATGACACTTTGAAGCAATGTTGCTCAGAATTAAACAAGGTGTAAATTGACCAAAGGTCAAGGTCACTTGGTCAAATGTCAAGGTTAAATTTTGTACCTTTCCCTGATGAACATTTTGTTATGACATTATGAAGCAATGCTGTTCAGAACTTAACACAGAGTCAACTGACCTTAGTTCCAGGTAACTGGGTCCAAAGGGTCAAGGTCAAGTTTTGTATTTTTCACTGATGAACATTTTGTTATGATATTAAGAAGCAAAGTTGGTCGGAATTAAAGAATAAGTTTTCTGACCAAAGATCAGGATCACTGGGTTAATGGTCAAGGTCATTTGGGTCCAAAGGTGAAAGACAAAGTGGATCTCTGACTTTGACCCTGGCTCTTGATGGAGGAGGTATATAAGGTGAAATAAAACAAATCAAAGCTAACAAATGAGTATTGCACCGGTAATTACATTTCTGTTAGCCCAGCAAATATGGAGGTGAAAGGAAACACATCATATCATAGTACATGTAAAATGTATATTTTGCTTCCTTGCAATTCTTTTTGAAGTCCAAATGTCAGACATCAAGCTCAGCTATATGGGCAGATTGCTTCTTGATGATTATGGGAGATATAATTGCCACAAGACGGGGCCCTTACTGACTTGTCAGTGTTCTAATTACCATATAGATTTTAAAAAATCCATAACAAAAGATGGCCGTGTTTGTTGCTTCTGTCCTGATTAGCTGTGACATGTATGGCTATTCAATAAAACAAGATGGCCTCCATGGCTCCTGATTGGCTGATATCTTTTGGGTTATAATTTCGTTTCTGCTGGTCTGATTTTGTTAGCTCACCTTGGCCTGAAGAGCCAAGTGAGCTTATGCCATAGCGGGTCATCCGTTCATCCAAAGTCTGCAGTCAATATTTACTTGCTTGGATGAAGGGCTACCAAGTTTGTTAAAATTAATTGCCTTGACATTTATTCAAGGTCACAGGGCTCAAATATGTTAAAAATCTTAAAACAACGTCTTCTGAATAAAAGCGTGCTTGGATGAAAAGCTATCAAGCTTTTTCTTTTGAATGACCTTGACCCGCTTTCAAGGTCACATTAAGTCACTATGTATATACATTTAAATGACATAATCTTAATAAACAGTAGGTTTAGGGTTGTGATATTTTGTAAGTTGCATGCTGAGATGAAGGGCTATAAAGTTTGTCAAACGTAATGACCTTGTTCGACTTTCAAGGTCAAAGGGGTTAAATGTTCTAAAATCTTTTAACAGATTCTTTTGAATGACTTATAGTCATAAATACTGAATTTTTGCCAGTAGCTTTATTTTTTAGATCACTTTTAAGGTAACAAGTGTGAGATAAATACCAGGTGAGCGATGCAGGCCCATTTAAGCTAGGCCTCTTGCTCATTTTTGGTGGTATCTGATATTTGTCTGATTACTTGACCTGTAAGTGTTCTAAGTATTATCATATGGTCTCTTCTTATTATGAATATAGAACTTTCACAGTGCTTATTGAGGAATTGAAATTCTCAAAAATTTAAACAATTTATCACATTTAATATAATTATTGACTATAACTTTTATCAATTCTGGTTGCTAAAAATATATGAGACAAGTTGATGATATGCGTTGATAATTTTCAATGTTATAGAGACTATGGAAAGAAGCAGAGGGCTACCCCCTTTTCACGGCCGTAGGCCAGCATCAATCGTATTCCTTTATCTTCATTAACAGTATGGGACAAAAAGTAAGTGTACACAAGTAAGCAACTCCT